CTCCTGCTCCAAGCAGGATCAGGTGCCAGATCTGAGCAGGTTGTTTATGGCTTTGTGCCAGTGGGGGCTTGGGAATGACCAAGGATGGTGGCTGCAAAACTTTTCTGAGCACCAGCCTGCTGCTATAAATTACTGTCCACCAGGTGAAAAAGGGGTTTCCTTATATACAGCCTGAACCTCTCTTTTTCCAGTCTATGCCCAGTTTCTCCCAGCCTCGCTCCATTCACAAGTGGAAAAGCCTGACTCAAAAAGTGCCATGTGAGGCAGTCCCAGCTGTGGTCTCTGCCTGCAGCCCTGCAGGCAGACTGTATTGCTGGGAGAGTTGTCACAAACTTGCTTTGGGAGGAGAATCTGAGACATGTTTCCACATTTGTATAAAAATTATCTTTAGTTTACCATAAAGCAATGAATGGAAAAATCCATCAAAACATTTGATGATGGCAAAAGTCATTCTTTGTGCATAGGCATAGGTATTATTGGAAAGTGGAATTAACTTCATACTTACAACAGGAGTGACGTTTTTATATAGTGCTGTCTGCCTCAGATATGTACAGATCATATTAACCCACCCACTTCCCTTCCTTGACCTTCTATCAAATGAAGTGAAACACAAAAAATTCTATGAATCTTCTGGGTATTTTAACACTCACATACCATTTTTTTTCCTTGAAATTGTGAGCAGGGAACATGATTCTTTAAGACTATTAATTTATTTTAAAAAATAAATAAATAACTGGGAAAAAATCAGAGAAAACACATGGTAATGCTACAATAATGATAAAACACACCTTCCAAACATCTTGTGATTTTTTTTTTGAGTCTCCTACAAATCCCTAAATGCACTTTCTGTAGTATTATTATCATGCAAAATATTTTTGACAATTAGGAAATGTAGGTCTGTAATATAAACAATACTCAAGTACATTTCAGCAACAGTATACACAAAGAATATTAATTATGTAATTAGACTATCACACTAGTAAAACCCAAATTTCATTGCCTTAGTGACATTTAAAATCATATTACATTAAACACTTTTATCTATATTTTCCTTGCCTAATAGCTTTTTTGAAGTCTTTCTCAGATACCAGAACAGTCCTTCTGAACATTAGCCCTTACACTTGGACATCTACCATACCTTGGGTCATTTTGTGGTAGTAAGCCTGGATCCACACTCGCATTAGAATCTGCTTCCATGGATCAGAGCATGGGAGTTATACCAAAAGTCTGTTTCTCCCCTTTTCTCAGTATATGGGTTAAAAAATTAATTAAAATTACATGGGTTAAAAAATTAATTTGAAAAACCCAACAAACCAAATACCTATGTGCCCAGCATTTTCTCCCTGTGCTTTTCATATATTTGCATGTGTCTCAGCAGGTTTCTTAGGAAATGTCACTTCCTAGAGAAAAAAAGAGAATCCAGAGAAACCCACACCCTCCTCCTCTCACTCCAGATCTGGCACCCACTAGTCCTCAGGCTCTTTTTTCAGCTATGTGGCTGACTCTGACAAAGGGAGGGGAATTGGAAGGGAATTTTCTACTCACTGTTTCCACACCTGAACTTCCACCTACCTCCTTCAGTGCAGTGCCCACAAAGCTTTGTTGTTTTTCATTAGCAAACAAGTGCAGCTCCTGGCCTAGGGTGTGTGCTGAGAGTGTGCACAAACCATCCACAGCCCTTCCCTTTTCTTCCCTCCATCTACAGCCCTCCATAGTGGCAGAGGCACTGTAGTGGAAAGCCCCACTTCTCCTTCCCCATCAGTATCAAATCTGTATAGTCCTACACATGTTCCTCCCACACCCCTTCCCAATCTCAACATACCATCAGTAACCTTTAAAATACACACCCATTTCCATGTACTCTTCCCAGGAATATGCAAGGCAATATGAAAGTCCAGATACTGGAATTTTAGGCAGATGGTGTGGTCCTGTTTCTGTCATACTTGAGTTTGACGACAAACTTTTAATGGTTTTTATCTCACCATCACAGTTTAGGCCCACTCAGCTAAGGAAATCACAGCCAAAAATATTCAGACACGGCTGTGCTGCTCTTCACTGCCAGAGACACGTGGTGCCTGACTCGAGGTCAATGATTTTCAGATGTTTCTTAAACTGTTCCAGAAAACTTCTCCTGTGCATGTGGTTTGGGCACCAAAAATAACCATGTTTGAAAATCTTGGGTCATAATGATATGGCAGAAGTACCTCGTTAACATCATCATCAGATGAAGATGAGTGAGAATTTCAGTGTTTTACAGAAAAGACTTAGGAGCACAAGGGGTTGTTTAAAGCTAAATGACTGTTGAATTTCTGAAAGGTGAAAGGGAATAAAAATAAAAAAAATTATGATGGATGATGTGAAGTATACAAGTCTAACATCTTGTTTAGACTTCAGAACTCTTGCAGTAGGGCAATGCTGTTGATGGACATTAATCAACTGTACTTTCATCTGATGTTAGCTGGCAGAAGTCCTATTCAGAAATAATTAGAATGTCTAAGGAGCCTCTGGTCAGTATTGCCTTTTCATCTGGTGACCTAGAGCAAAGTACACCACAAACTGACTCTGGCTGTGACAAACCAAGTCTGTTTAAAGCAAGTTTGTTACACTTTTAAGAGAAAGTTTACAAGAAATCTCTCTGAAGTGAGGAAAGGTAAAGTGAGAAGCAAGAAAGCAAGGCAGAGACAGCAAGAAACAGCTCTTTCCGAGCAGAGACAGCAAGAAAGAGCCTACACTATAATTTAGCAGGGTGTTTTAAGAAAGTTAGTTCACTCTCACCGGATGCTTCTGAAAGCTCTTCTCAAAACAGATTTTACTTTGCCATAGATTAATTCAGTCAATTCACACGACCCCTTGAATCAAGTCACAGGCTCTTTTCTCTAATGAACAACATACACTAAATTACAATTTGTCTAGTTTTGACCAGATTTTGTTAAGTTTCTGATGGTTTTAGTTGCTGTTAAATATTACATTTCACTAGCTATTAGGTATCACACCCTACACCTTTTAACATCTGTCATGCCTTATTTGCTATCTAGTCACAGCCATAATTTTGCTGTTCTTCAGCAGGCATGAAGATGTAATTAAAACTACAGGGCTGTTTAAAGGGCTTAGTAAAATTGATTAAATGATCCCCCCATCACTGGGAATGTCCTCAGGGTCCAGAACTGAAATGTAGCTACTAGTCAGAAATTCAGCATACTAATGGGGGTAGGACTCCAGTGCTCCATGTCCATGCCACTTTTAACTCTGAGCCTTGATGTATTCCCTCTATGGCTCCCAGCTCATTCCAAACAAGAAAGCACTGCTTCACATATGCATTAGCCAGGTATTACTCCAACATAACTCCAGATGTTGCCACAGTCAAATAAATTACTATATTTGAATACGTGAGTTTAATACAAAATGTTATCAAAGCTTATTAGGCATTGAAGGCTGTATGTGTATATTACATATATTTGAAAACTGGGATATCTATGAAAATCCTATTTTCTCCACAGAAAGCATAAGAGCATCAGTCCTTTCTGCCAGCATATGGGATCAGGTGTGTGACTGTATTGCACTCGGGAGGACCAGCATATCCTCTCAATTTTTTTACTTATAATGCACTGTGTCTACCACTTTGCAAACACATGGATGACCAGGCTGCTGCTCCAGGACACTTGTATCTGGACTCATGTACAACACAAAGGCTAATAGTTCATGTGCTTGTGAGAGCAAATGAGTCAGGTCTTCAGGGCAAAGTTAGTTATTAGAAGGCTTATGGAAAAACTTGGGCTTCTGAGTTTTCCTTCATAAAATAAAAGAAGAGCCAATTTTTAATTAATTTAGATATTTGAAGGATGTCAAAATTCCGGGAGTTTGTGAAGACCATATTTCCTTGCATATTGTATATTCTTGCACTCTAATTTGAGGTTTGTTTTGCAAAAATAACCTGTCACAAATAACACTTATTAGCCACAATAGCTCTACTAGCAAAAAGAACATGTGGCACTGTTTTCATGCCCTATCTGGGATTGCCCTTGTATACCCTTTGCTGTTGTCCTCTTGATTTTAATGACTAACTTTGGTGAGCAGAGTAATTCATAGACTGTTTGTGAGTAGTTAATATATACTGATACACTTAAAATCAAAAAATGTCTACTTCTGAATGGAAAAAAATAATTCAAAGCCTTTCTGATCTCTCAAAATAAAACTGCAAGGTGCACAAGCCCACAGCTGTTTTCCAGGACAGATCTCGAGGGTAGCAGGCTGTTTGGTGTAAGATTTCTGGGGACCTGAAGCAATGGCTCCACTACTGTGTCCCTGATCTCCTTCGTTTTTGGGATTTGTTGTAAGACCTGTCAGAGCGGGTAAGATGGACAAAAACTGAGGGCCTGACTCGAGGGTGAGTGCTGACTGATAGTTCCCAGGGCTGTGTGTGCCTTTTTCTTTCCCTGCGGACAAACTCCTCCGGCCGGCCAGGGAGTGCGGTGGGGTGGGACGGGGACAGGTCGGGCTTATCCTGGAGCCGTCAGCCTGCATGTCTGAGATCACTGAAATCCTGGAGGCAAACTTCCCAGAGCTGCGAAACGAAGCTTCCTGCCTGGGGCAGGGTGCCCGCGCTGTCCCTCTCCCACACAAGCCTCGGGGGGTCCCCAGCCCACGGCCGGCCCCGGTGCTGCCCTCCCTGCCCGCCGGGCGCACGCGGAGGCGCCCCGGGGCTCCGCCGGCGGCAGGGAACGCCGGTGCCTGGCCGGACTCCCGTTTCCCGGGACTACGTTTCCCAGGGATCCGCGGCGCGGCCCCGCCCGCTGTCAGCGAGCGCTGCAGGTTGATCGCCGCGGCTGCAGATGAGCGGAGCCCGCGCGGGCGGGGGGGCGGCCGGGGCAGCGCCGCCGGGGCCGGGTCGGCGGCCGGCGCACTATGCGAGGCCGGGAGGATGGCGGTGGAAGGTAAGGGCTTCGCGTCCCCTGCCCGCCGCCCCCGGGGTCCCTCCCCTGTCTCCTCCCCCGGGCACTCACCTGCGCCGTGGCGGGGCCGCCCCGGCCCGGTCCGGTCCGGCGGGACAGCAGTGTCCGCCGGCGGGGCCACTCAGCCGCCCGCTGCCTCGGCCTCGCCGCGGGGCATCCCCGGCCCCCGCGCACCTCGCCCCGGCCCCGCGCTCAGCCCCGGGCGCCTCCCCCGCCCCGCCGCCGGTCGGGCTCCGCGGGCGCCGAGACGCCGCCGTCCCTCGCTGCTGTCCGGATCCCCGAAGCGCCCCGGGACCGCGATGCCCACGGAGCTCCAGCGTGCCCCGCATGGGCGCTGAGCTGTGCTCGGCCCCTCCTTCCCTGAGAAGGATGGAGAAGCCAAAGGGCCGAGATGCTCAGCTCCTGGGCAGCCGGGAGCTGCGAGGTGTTCATAAGGTGCCCGGCTCTGGGGAAGTACCCCGGTAACTGAGGCGATAGCTGCCAAGACCTTGACAGGTGGAGGCTTTGCTAGGTCTTCAGTAAATGCTGGGCTCCCTTTAGCCTTCTAACATTGGCCGTGCTCCATTTCTATTGAGTTTTTTGGGAAGTTGGAGACAGGTGTATGAGAGAAGGCAAATCTGCTTTCCTACTGTCTGCTTCCAAGGTTCCCTCTAAAGCTTTAGACTGAGGCAGTGACAGTCCTGGGGTTAGTGCCTCATCTTGCTTCATTTGGTGCCCTTGAGAAAATTGTAGAATCCTGTGTAAACCAGCCATCTGATCCCTTCTCCTGTGCTTAAATTTAGTGTCTCCTGTGCTTAATTTAGTGTATGACAGAATTTTTGTGTGTTCATCTTGTGACTACCATGAGTTTTGTTTCTCAGTTATGCTGAAATCTACAGTTCCATCAGACACTTGCTTTATTGCGTAAAATCATGCTGAAGCTGTCTTTTGCTGAGTACCCAAGTGAACAGTGCAAATGATAGTCCAGCAGAAACTTAAATATCCTGGAGGCAGTGGGGAGCTTTACATTGCTGAAAACCAGCTTCCTATGCAAATTCAAATAAAGATAAATAAGACCACTGTGTCTCAAAAGGTGTCTGTCACATCCTAAGTTGTTCATCCTAAGTGTAAGCCTCTCCCTAAGGCAAGCATTTCTTAGGCACAGGCTGCTTTACTGAATGGCAGTTTTGAAGACTGGAATGATACAAAGAAAGAAGGTAGTGGTCCTGAGCAAAAGCATTACTTTGGTGGCAGAAGGATAAGGACATGAACTGGGCATGCGTGCCCGGTAGTGGGTAAGTAAGTAAATGAAATGGACTGCCATGCACCAGATGGTTCATATGCCAGCAGCAACCCCTGTTTCAGTGTGCTCACTAATGCCATCCCACTTTATTTACTTGAAGTCTTTCTCAGTCTGTTCGCTAGATCTTTTCAGGCCTGTAATAATTCCTGTCATATCTGCAGTGCCCTCCATCTGAGAATCTCTAAAAGCTTTGTAAATATTAATGAAGGAAAGCTCTGCTAAAGCTTTAGGAAGCAGTGCCTTTCCCTTCTCCTGACATGGAATTTTTTTCTTTAACTCCTTCTTCCCATTTCCTTCCCCCAGGATGCATCCTGCTGTGGTGTGTCAGAACAGGCATTCCTGTCTGTATGTTCTGCATTCCTCCCATTTTGTTTTTTTCTGCCTCAACTTTCTTGCCTTTGCCTGATTCTGTTGCCCTCACACTAGCACAGCACTATGACTGTTTCAGCACAAGTGGCCATGTGGCCATGACTGCTTTGTGTGTTTGTAATGCATTCACATTTCAGGCCTTTTGTTATCCATCATTTTATGTTGGAACCATGTTTCTTTGTGTGATTGTGCTTAAAAGCTTGCTTTTCTCTTAATGAATCTTCTGCCTTGTTGTAGCCCTAGGTGTGAGCTGTGTTCTGTTCCTGGACTGTGACTTTTGGCGAGGAACACGTGGCATTACGGCTTCTGTTTGGAAAGCTGAGAGGTTACTTGTTCCTCATGACTCTGATCATCACAGTGTACAGACCCTGCTTTAGTCTAAAGTAGAGTTGCCATTGAATCTTCTAAAGAGATAGTTCTGTAGAAAAATGTTCTGGACTCTGAAGAGCAGACATTTGGTATTTTTTTGTTTTCTGTTTGTTTGATTTGTTTGTTTTCTTTGGAAACATGGTTTCCTGGTTTGCAGCTTGCAATCTTGAGAACATGAGCTGCTGTACAACAGTTTTGGAAGCTTGGAAATAAGGTTTAAACTGAGGTTGTGTGGCTCCAGTCTCTGCAGCAGTCAGCTGGGAGCCTGGCTAGGATGGACTTCCTGGGCTTTCTTTATAGAGTGAAGCAAGGCCTTTGAATGGCTGGGCCAACCGGCTTCTTGTGCGACTCGCGAGTGGCTCTGGGATGCAGCTGGTGGGGAGCGGGAAGGTCCCTGGGGCACAAGGGAGGCAGGGATTCTGCAGCACCGAGTTCCTGACCGGAGCCAACATCCGCTGCCCCACCAGCTCCACCAGGCCTATTGTTCTATGGAAACTGCCTGTTTGGCAGCTTCAGCCATGAACCCAGAGTCTTTGTGTTGTTTTTCCTTTCAGAAATGCTCTGTGGGGCTAAGGTGAAAATATTTTGTAGCTTATACTTTTTGGAAAATCTTTGAAAAATTTGTTTTATCTAAAAAATTGCTGAAATCTTCCTCAAATCTGATTATTTTAAAGCTATTTTAGCATGGTGTGCTGAGGTTTAACTATGTCAACAAATGTCCATCTTAATGTTCTACTTAAGGAAAATATCCAAACTTTTTAACTGGGATAGCTGACAGTGGTAGACTTGCATATATGAAGCAGGAATTTGGAGAATACTGCCATTCTTCGCCAGTTATGTATAATACATACTTTAGTGTCTCAAAAGAGTTTATGGGGACTGGGAGGTACTTCGGCCTGTATAGTGCCAGTACTTCCAGATTGATGAAAGGTTGGTGTGTGTGTATGAGGAAAGTGAGTTTGCACTCCTTAATATGAGCCTGTTGAGATGGCAGCACTGCCAAGGTAAGTCTATTTTTAGACTCAACAGTTTTGACAATGTTCCTTTAAGTGCTTTTTCTCCTTCTAGTAAGAATGAAAGAACTAGGTCAGAGCCAGTAGAAAAAGGCTTTTGATCTCTGCAACAGTGTTCTCATTTTTTTTTCAGTTTGCTCTTGTGCAGCAGAGGTAAAGGGGAAAAGGGAGAAATGGTGATTTCTTCCCCCCCCACCAGTGTTTGTTGCACAGGAAGGTGAGAGACTGACAGCACCCATCAGATGATGTCTGCATGCAGGTGATCCCATACAGTTCTGTTGGATCCCCTGTAGCTCTGATCTGTGGTGTTTTCGAGATTCCTTTGCAAAGAAATGTGCTAATTCTATCATGGAGTTCTTTCATGGTAAGTGTTTAATGAAGTTTGGTTTAACACCTTTCTTGCTGTGTATAGGCTTTGGAAAGTACCACATAGATTTGTTGCAGGTCTCCTCCTGGAAGTTTATGTAAACTTCCAGTCTCCTATGGCTCTTCTGTAGTGGGCTTATGCTACTGAGACCCTGGATCTTCCTATGGGATAGTACGTTTTACTAAGAAGAGGAGCTTTGCTGACATGACAATGACTGGCCTTACTCCTTGGTAATGCTTAAGGAGACTAAGACTCAAAGGAGGTTAGGGCATTCTGTGGAGTGGCTTCCAGGTTAACTGCTGCAGGACTGAAGTTATTTGCAGCTTGTAACCAACTTCTGTCAGACTGATCCTGTGGATTTCAGCTATGTGGTGTACCTTGGTTGAACGCTGCAGTGCCTAGCAACTCCATGGATATTGAATGCTGCCATGTGTTTCTTCAGAGACTTGAAATATGGTGAGCTCATAGATGTGCTATGCTAACTCTGCCAAGAATGTCAAAGCAAGTTCAGGATCACCCAGAGGACAGCTTTGAAGCAGCTTTCAGTGTAGGTACCTATCATGCTGTTCCAGGGTGTGCCCAAAAGTACAACTCTTCTGACAGGTATTCAGTTACTCAGCTTCATCTTATGTCTACACCCAATTTGAGCTCAGACTGGATATGTCTCCATATCTAAGTTTCCAGGGAATGTGATCCAGTAGATGGTATTTCAGCACACTTACTTGCCTATGGAGCAAAGAAGCAACAAGCCCTGTGATTCAAAAATAGCACATGCTTCCGTCATGTTTTTTGTTTCTTCAGTAATTTCTAACCACTTCTTAGCCTGAGGGATTCAGACATGTGGCTTGGAAATAGCTGCCAGTTGGAAGTGGAACTGAGAGAGACATCTCATTTCAGCTCTCCAATTGAAGCAGTCACATTGGGTCATAGCAGAGGAGATGGATAACACCATTGCTAGAGGTGTATTGGACAGTGAGGCATAAGATTTGAACATCAGCCTTTGATCTTGAGTTCTATGTATCACTTTCTGACCATTTATTGCAAAAATGCATCAGCAGTTACGAGATTCCAGACTGGAAGATAGATCTCCTATCCACATTCGTGTGGCAGTCTTCTTGTTGGGCTGTAACATCTTATTTCTTGCTTGAAAACGGCTCAACCTCCTGCCCACCCCCGCATTGTACCTACAGCTTCATGGTTGTGTGTGCTTCTCTGCTTTGAACCACTGCTTAGAGCTTACCACTGCTTAGAGCTTTCCAATCTATGTTGCTGAATTTGAAAGTGAGACTGTGTTCAAAAAAAAAAGAAAGTGAGACTGAAGTTCAGAAGATGGACTCCTTTGTGGGAATTGGAGGTCTCAAAATGAAGCTGTGGCAACAAAGAATCACCCTGAAATGAAGTGTCTTCGGGTGTATTCAGCTTGAGTGGATGGTGGATATTATGGAAGTTATGTGATCATTTTACCCTCCCTGCTTTTACGCTTAAACCCATATTAGGCAGGAATCAAGGTAACAAGTATAGACTTGATGTGACAGTGTGTTTACTTTGGCTGAAATTTGGTTGTAGGATAAGAGTGTTTCTGCAAAGTCAGAAGTACTTTCATGTTGGCCAGTTTAGATAAAGTACCTTGAGTGTTTGACCTTACCCTTTAAAGTACTTGGAAGACATAGAAGCTCAAGGAGGACATTGATTAGTACAAATTTACTGGTTCAGTTAAAACTTGTCAGGTGGTGGTGATATGTTGGCAAATGGAAGGAGTAATGTTTTGAAAGTTTGTGTGCTT